CTTTCTTGACTGGTCAATTTCTTTCCTTGTCATGAGGATTTGCTCTTTCCTGGATTTTGCTTGGTTGGTTGGTTTTGGTCCCATGTGGGGGGGGAGGGGAATAACAAGCAGATCAGGTGGGAGTCAGTACCAACTAGACATTTTTAGTCATATTTAAGCAAGAAAGAGGCTTAGAAGAAATGACACTTAGGCAGTGGGCTTCTAGAAAAGGACAATAAATAACAAAATCCAACAAAAGCAGATGTCTAAAAAGTTAATCTGGTGACAAATAAGTACTTATTAAAGTCATTTTTTATGGACTTGATTGTAAATGTCCCAGAAGGATTAGAACTGTAATGACAAAAACTTAAAAGAGCCATGGTTAAAATTTTGATGGACAATTAAGCAACTAACAGAACAGTATATCAGTACCATTAACTTTTTGTTACCGTGTTTATCTAAATTTTTTATTTTAGAAGGCTTGATATACTTGAAAAATATAAATATATTTAGTATAAGGAGCCAGCAATAACTTCATAGCTCTATAGAGATTATATATACATATTAATTTAGTTGTTGTTCTTGAAGTAAAACTTTAGATTTTTTTTTTCATCAGTTGAGGGGACAGGAAGAACAATTTTAGTAAACCTAAATAGGCCAGTCACAGACCCATATAGGGTACAGACTGTATTAGAACCACCCAGGGGAACAGTTGTTTAACCATGAGGTCATCTAGAAAATTTTACATAAACTGTTAGAAAATAAGAGGCATGGAAGAGGCAGAGAGACGACTCAAACACCAGCACAGGGTTTATTGTTCAGGCGGGAGCCCTGTGGAGAGGGACTCCAGCAAGAGAGCAAGAGCCCATTGCCATACATAGGCTTGGACTAGATACAGGGGACTAGTAGAAAAGTACCAGGAAGGTCACTAAGGGATACTGTTGCTGGACAACCAAGAAAGATAAGCTGTAGTTAGGTCACTCTCTGCTCAACTGTCCTTGGCATCCATCTGAAGAGATAAAGGTTAACAATTGTCCCTTTGTCAATCTTTGAGGTTGGGTGGGGAGTTCCTAGTAAGCCATCTGCAAGGGGGTAGTGGGTCTGATCCTAATATGGCTGTCCTCACTGTTAACCCCAACATAAACCAACAATTTAATGACCATGACTCAGTGACCTTAGTAACAACAAAGATCACCAGAGAATACAGGTAAATATTTATGGGGACCGAATGTGGAGTTAGGAAACTTAATGACCAAGAATCATGGCTCAGACATTGATAAGGGATCATATCCCAGATTGTTGACATTAACAGATGGCTCATGACATACAGCAGGGTCCCATCAACCTGTGGTCAATGGAGCCCCCCTAAAATAACAGGCCCAATCTGGCCATCCCAGGCCAAAAATTCCCTCTGCTTGCCATGTAGAAGGAATAGGACTAACATCTTCACTCTGCTGACTCCAATAAAAACTGGAGGTCTTGACCTTCAGTATAGTGCTCCTTTTTGAGTTTTTATTTTTTTATCCTACCTGGATACTTTGGCTTTTTTTCTTTTTTTTACTTTGCTTTACACAAGTAAATTTGTTTTGACCTTCATATCAGTGTAGCAGTACTCCCTGTTCTCAGCTGCCTCTTGCCTCTCTGTGGTTTTAATAAATGCTTGTCTTCACAAATTTGTTGATTAACCCATAGCACCAAAAATTTCTGAGTTATCTTAACAAAACAAAAACCATTTTTGAGACAGTTTTTGTAAATGTTATTAAAGAACAATATAATTTTAAGATAGTCTTGCTGTTATGAGCTTAGAGAATTAAGTTTTAGTTTAATATTAGTACTTTAAATTTTGACCTTACCAAACACTTAATGTAACTGGATTTTGGTCAAGTCAATCACTTATATAAACATTTATAAACTCCATCTTTTAATAAAAACTTATCTTATATCACCTGGGGGAGCTTGTCCTTATCCTTTTCTTTTTATTTAAAAGTATTTTTTAACCTTTTATTTTTAAAACCCATATCCTTAATATCATATCTATCTATCTATCTATCTATCTATCTATCTATCTATATATATATATATAGAGAGAGAGAGAGAGAGAGAGATTTGTTACTTGTTGAAAATAAATCATAAAATCTTTTAACTTGGAGTCTTGTATTTGTATGAAAAAAGACCAGAAAGAAAGAAAAAAGCCCATTTGTTAATAGACCCATGTATTATAAGAGAGAATTAAATCCCAGATTTTATTTATGACAGAATGAAACAGGCTAAGGTCATTTTTAACTACCCAAATTTTAAGATTCCTGCTGCAGGCTGTGCTCTTTCCCCTTTTTTCTCCTCCTCTGGTCTATACCAGAGTGTTAACCTCTGAATGCCTGCATTCTAGTGAGACCTGACTGAAATAAGTTTCAAAACCATCATCAATGGTTCTTATTATATGATGTTTACATATTCAGATGTAAAAAGTTTAATCAGTTTATAACAGAGATCTTTAAAACAAAAACCCTGGGGTTTTTTTGTTACCTTGAATATCATATTAACCTTATAACAGCAATTTAAGAACAATTTTGAAAATGCTTAAACATACACACATACACATAAAAAAGTTTTATAAATTAAGCTTGCCAGAAAAAAAATGTCAACTTAAGCATGCGTAAGATGAGCCGGGATTCCAGGAGCAAATTAATTTTGCCCAGTGTTTTAAACAAATTGATACACACACACACACACACACACACACACACACACACACACACACAAAATTAAGAGTGCACTCAAAAAAAGGAAAAAAAAAATCTAGATTACAGCCAGAGGGCTGGAGTAGTGGATGATACACCTATTCTCTGTGAGTCTCCCTCTTTGGAACTGAATTTTGGTTGTCCATCCCTTAACCTTGGTTGTGGCTATTTCCCAGGAAAAGCTGATTGCCCCCCTAACTCTTGGAGGTGTCTCATACACTTTCACATAGCACAGTACTTCCGCCCCACGCCCCACTCCCTGAAACGGAGACACAGTTTCACCCCAAAAAGCAGTTACTAGCAGTCTCTGGGAGGTGATCAATCTCACCTTCTGCCTCCTGAGGCAGGTCTGAATTTGACCCGGGTTCTTACCAGTCTGGTGAGTGGTGCTCCCCTCCCATTGCTGTTTCCTGCCCCTCACCAGGTTTCGTTGTGCATCTGAGGCTTTCACCCCAACTCACTGGGAGAATGAGTCCCTCCTCCAGATCAAACTGTCCATTGATGCCTGGTGGGATTTTATCCTGGCAGTCCAGGGGATGTACCCCGGTGACAAGGGAGGTGACAAATCACTATCTCTACAATCCTGGCAACAACCCCCAAGAAATGTTGTGGGAATCTCAAGGTGAGATACAGGACACTGAGGCAGTTTAGCAGGAAGCAACGTTTTATTGTGCACAGACTAAGCAGACTTGTGTCCAAAGGCTGAGCCCCAAGAGCAAAGAGGTCTCACTTTGTATACCCTGGCAAACAGGTTATAGAAGCAAAAAGCAAAGCTCAACCCACATATGGCTGCATGTGACTTCATTGGCTATTTCATTCCCCCAGTGCTGTGTGACCTTCTTCATGTTTCAGTTCTTTAAGTTTTATCTCTGCTTCGCCAGTCCTTCCCCCTGCCTCATTATCAGAACACAGCCTGTCTGTTTTTCTTCTGATCCTCCTCCCTGCTACAGTTATGCACCACCACACCCAGCATGTTTGTTGAGATAGGGTCTTTGTTAACTTTTTGTTCAACCATGGTCCTCCTGATCTTTGACTCCTGAGCAGCTCAGATTATAAGCATGAGTCACCATGCCCAGCTCAATTTATTAAATAGTTAAACATACACCTACCATATGATCAAGTCATCGCACTTCTAGAATTACTCACATAATTAACAAACATTTTTAAAGGGATTTTCTAACTGAAGAAATAGTATGTGAACTTTTTACATGTGAATTCCAATATACTGGTGTGTTTAATCTCTCAGAACTTCAGTATTCTCATCTATAAAATATCATAAGAAATTAAAAAGAACAGGCCTCCTAGAAGTTATTAGTTATTCTTTTTTGGGGCAATGCCATCATTCTCCCCCTCTGCTCAGAGACATGTTTGTTCCTTCTTACCTTGAACATATCAAGTTTTTCTCCCAGCTTCCATCCATCTATCACTAGACTGCTTGAGAGGGCCATGACTAAAATCTTTGCACAATCTTGACTAACCACCATATTGTTCAGGAAGGCATCTAACCTCCTTAGCTCAGCCTGAGAACCACACTGATATGATGGGCTGGCCTTCAATTCTCTGTACCAGCCATACTGGATTCTGAGAGGTGCAACTCACTTTATACTTACAGTTTTCCGGAGGGTCCTCGGTTTTCTGGGTACTGAGTCATGCAAGGCTTTGAGCCTTTAGAAGATCTTAATAAAATACAGTCTAATAAACAGGAACAGCGGTTTAGCCCACAAACTCTAGCTGTGTGGGAACTTATCTCCAAAACTACTTTTTTTCAACACTGCAATTGGGCTAAAGGTATCTATTTTTTTTTAATGGCATTAACTTCATTGTAAAGTAGCACACTGGCTTTATCTTGAATCCTAATTTAGCATTTAACACACCAATTCAACTTTTTCCTAAATATATACTTAACTCAAAATCTTATATCGTAATAATTCCCTGAGAAAATAGCGTTTTCTCCTTCCGAATTACAAATATAAAAAGATCTATAAACAAACTAAAACCAAGTAACGTCCTAAAATGGTACAAACCTCAAAAAGTTATTTGCACTTGAAATAACTTCGACTCGGTGCAAACCCAGCCTGCTTCCGACTACTCCACCCACCCTCTCTCCCTGGAACGCCGCTCCCTCGGCGAGGTCCCCGCCCTCCACTCCTGAGCCTGGCTCCCATTGGGCAAATCTGGACGCTGTATACACACGCACGTTTTGGCCCAGCGTCTTCGCGTCTGCGCAGTAGCACCGTCAGGAAGCTGTAAACTGGGGTCTGGGGGGAGGGGGGCGGAGGTCAGGCGGAATCTTCCTCCGTAATAAGAAGCGACGTGTCCCCGCGTCCGCGGTCCTGGCTCCGTGGGTCCGGTCGGATCGGGCCTGGGCGTTGGACCTGCTGTGGCATCCGCCGCGGCGGGTGCGATGGAGGCCATGCTGGAGCCCAGCACTCACGCCGGGGGAGGCCGAGACAGCCGACGGTGCTAGTAGATGAGGCGGCGGTGGCGGTGGCAGCCCGGGTTCTCCATGAGCAAGCGGCGGCGGCGACGGGTGCGGCGGCACCGGCGGTTTTCGGTCCCCCGGGAGGTATGAGGAGTCGGCTGTCCAGTGGACCGGGACTGACCGGTGTGGGAACGCCCATTTTCCCGCAGTCCGCGGCGCTTGGCGGGGGCCCAGTGTCGCCGGGACCCGGCTCGGGGACCCGCCTACGTGCGGGGCTAGGCCTCCCGGGAGCGGCGGCTGGCGCGGGATGGTCGCGTGCAGGGTGCGGGCCTCCAAAGGTGCCGCGTCGTCTGGGGCCCGCGCCGAGCGCCGCGCTGCCCCGCTGCCCGGCTGCCCCGCGGAGGAGCCGCGTGCCCCTTTTCCCAGAAAGTATTTCGGGGGCTGAGTCGAGGGGACCCCCCTGGACGTCCGGTGTAGTCCAAGCCTTGGGCAAGTGGTCTGATTCTGACCGCCAGCACTGAGTACAGATTGCGACCCTTGGCAGTGACCACCTAGGGAAGTGTCATTTTTCCAAGGAAATGGAGTTTTCAGGTGTGTTCAAACGCGAGGCTCTGCGCTTCCAGCTCAGTGCCTGACGGAACAGCTACGGAGTGACAAAACCTAAGGCAGTTTTAAGTCAAGCTCTTTGTAGCCGCTCCTCCATCTGTTTTCCTTTTTTTTTTTTCATTTTAATTGCAATTTTTTTTAACATATCACCAAATTCATGCTGAAACAAGTGTCCTCTAACTCTTCCAGTCCTCCATTTCTAAGGAACTTTAGATTCATGTCGTACAAAACTGTCTTAGATTATAACCATTGCTTTATAGAGCTATAGTTACCCTTCATTTCGTCATGTCTAAGAGATAATTTGAAGAAAAACACTCACTAGTTACTCTTCCTTTTCAATACAATATTTAGGACTTTGAACACATAAGGTCTTTTAAGTAATTTAAAGCTTGCTACAAAATTCTTTAAAATTCAATAGATAAACCGTGGAAAATACATTTTTCATTTCTAAAATACTTGAATACTTTATGATTTTTTTAAAATTTCTAAATGAAACGGGTCAGTTTCTATTAAGAAATGAGTTTTATGTTTGCCTAGGCTTCAGTTTTGTGATACCATCTTATTTCTAAGAGGTTGACTAGGGCCAGTGTGTTAATTAGCACACTGTATAAAAACGGTATGCACTTCAAACTATGTGTTGAATATTATAAGAGTCCACAGTATCCTGGGTTACACAGAAACATTGCACTGTGTGTAGAACTGAATTTTTAGTTTGCTAGTATTGCAAAAGTAATTTTGAACTTAATTTTTCACACAAAACTCAGGTCTGCAGTATTATTGAGTGTTGGGTTCATACGCTAGGGAGGATATGATGTTGAAAATAAGACACTGACTTCAGTTACATGTTTCTCTGATCCTGTTTCTCAGGTGCATCACTTTTTTCATAAAAACATTTTTCCATAAAAGGTAACATTGGAAAAGGTGTTTTAATTTATACACTTATTAAAGTTGTTATGATTCCTTCTCATTTGCTGTCTTTCAGAGTTTAATAACAGAATTAGTCTTCATCTTTAGCAACAGGTGGTATTAGTACATAGTATTTTATGGCACAGATAAAATGTGTAGTATAATTAACATGAAGGTCACTAAATGGCTATTAATCTATACCCCAAAATTAAGGATCCTATTACATCATTTTTTTAATAAGAAATCACCCATTAACAAGAAAATGAAGCACAGCTTGAATTTTGGAGGAAAGAGGTGGGGGTACATTAAGAATCTAACTAAACAAATTTAGGTTGTGTATTTTTTTATTAGTATATGCTAATTGTACAAAGTATGGTGTTTAATTATGACATTTCCATAGGTTTGTGTCTTTAGATATCTATTTTCATTTAGAATTTTTCTTCCAGAATTTTCCTAAATCAAAGATACAGTCTCCAATTAATTAATACAGAGGCCCATAAATGGTCATTCTGTACCTCAAAGGAAAGACTAACTGCAGCTTCTTTCCAGAGACCAAACATACATATTAACCAAAAAGCAGTGCATTTAATTTTTTTTGCTATACTGACAGGCCATCTAACAAAATTTAATTTGAATCCTACAGTAGATTTATTTTCATTCAAACATATGCATTTACATGTTCTATTTTAAATTTTTAAATGCAGGATGAAGACACTGTTTGAAGAGATCAAAGCATCAATTAAAAATAACTATAACCAAGATCGATCATTTTGGAGGCCTGTTCTTCCTTGGGGAGGTGTTTTTACTATCAAAGCTGGCCGCAAAGCAGTATCCTGTACACCACTCTATGTTGAAATAAGACTGAAAAATACCTGCACCATAGATGGATTCTTGATGTTACTCTATGTCATTCTTAATGAAAATGAAAATTTCCCCAGGGAACTCTCTCTTCATTTTGGTAGAGAGTTTGTAGACTGTTTTCTTTATTTAATGGACACCTACAGTTTTACAACTGTGAAGCTACTTTGGATTTGGGACAAGATGGAAAAACAGCAATACAAATCTGAAGTTCACAAAGCTTCATTAATAATTGATTTGTTTGGGAATGAGCATGACAATTTTACAAAAAATCTCGAAAATCTCATGTCTACCATTCAAGAGAGTTACTGTTCCAACTGGCGATGCCCAACTCGAGTGCAAGAAGATCAGCAGCGCACAATTAGTATAAAGTAAGTTGTTCTAGTCTTTTTTGTTATGTTTACTTTTTTAAATGAACATTGCATTAACTTACATGTATCTACTCACATGATAAGCAACCAGTAACTTTTCAGTAGAAAGTAATTTAGTACACAAAGTGTTTTACTATTGGTATGAATTTATTAATATGACTAGGTAATTCTTTGTGCCATAGATTTAACCTCTTACAGAGCACTTTAATGTTTCAGAATGTTTTGCCATTTGAATGGGTTTCTGTGAGGAAGGCTTGTTCCACATGAACAAGAGGATTAAAAATACTTTCATGCCAAGGCCCGAGCATAAATATAGACAAAAACCCTGAATTTGGCATCTCACACTTGGAGAGGATGTAAGTGTGAGAACATTTTACAGTAACTGGGAAAGATGCTAGAAGCCATCTGAATGTTTTTTTGGCTTTCAAAAAGAAGGCAGAGCTCCAAGCTGGTAAATGACAGGAAGGGAGGCCAAACTGGCAAGCCTCAGTGGAGTGCCCCAGGGAACATGAGCTAAAAAAGAAGTAATTGCCAGTGGAAGGAAAACAGACCCATTGTTAGAAAGGGTATTTAGCTCTAAGGTCAAGAAAAACAGCCTAATAGATTATTTGCATTTGGGATTACACCCTAATTAATTTAATTAAATTTGTATTTTTTTTCTGAACTATACTGTCTATTTTCCTGTTTTGCTGACAACAATGATTTTGAAATTCATCAGGGGAAAAGTTTTGTTACTGTACATCATAGTAAGCTAAAAAGTGTCTTATAAATTTTTAATTTTGTAAAAGTTCTTATCTAATTATTTTGAAGTGAATCAATATTTACCTATCTGTATTATACTAATATTTTATAATTCTCTCATTTAATAAGATACTTTTCATCATAGTCTTTTTAAAGCTTCTGCCTATTTTTTATAATCTGTATTTAAAACATCTCTTAAGTATATATGGAAAAAGTTTTTAACAGATGAGGTAACTGAAGACAGTTATGTTTTTGACTTGCATTTACTAAGGTAACTAATCAGCTGCTCTCCTAATTCTGGAACCTAGTTTCTATTCACCAGACAGTATTGCCACTATTGAGGCACAGTTTTGTTTAAGTAGCAACAAGTGCATATTTTAGGATTTTTACAGAGAACTTTAATGTTCCTTAAAAAATTATGTATTAATACTTACTGATTTCTACTGATTTCTACAGTATCTGCAAGAAGTACAAAGGTGAATAAAAGAGGTTGTTAATGATTGATCTTGGTTCTGTTAATAATGATTGATCTATAAAGAATTTATTACTCTAATAATATACTGATACGTAAAACATTGATGCAGTTCTTACTTGCACTTTACAATTATTGCAGTCCTCCCCAAGAAATTCCACATGGAAACTTGATACGACTGGCTGTGGATGAGTTATTCTGTTCTAAGATTGAACTGTGTGAAGAGCTGGGGTGAGTATATGATGGGCATTTAAGATAAAAGTATTTCTGTTTTGTTTAAAAGGAAATCTGGAGTGATGTGCTCTTTGAAGTTGCATATTATGAAGTAGAAACTCATAATTAGGAATACTAGCACTTCTTGAATCTTACTAACCTAGTTTATGAGGCCATCTTTGTTGTGTTTTCATTATTCAATATCACTATATAAAACACAGTAATTACAGCCTTATTGCTGAGTAGGTACAATAAAACCTTGGTTAACCAGAATCCACCTCATCAGGACCCTCAATTAACTAGATATTTTTTCTGCATTCATTCCTCAATTAGGAGAAAGAGGTAAATGACAACCCAAAACTTTAAAATAGTAAAAAAAAAGTCAAGACAGGTAGAATATATTCATCCTGATCTTTTAGCGATTTCTGTGACATCATTGTACAGTCGTTGTACAAGAGTTAATGTTTGGAATCACAATCTTATAGTTAATCACAAAAGAAAGAAAGATAAAAACACATTCAGTTAATTGTTATTATTAAGTCCAAAAGTGAACTAACGTATTTTAGCAACAAGTACAGAAACAAATACTTTTCTGGTTAGCTTAGCATAGTCAATAATGTTTGTTAGCCAGAAGACTGTTTCCTGAGTTTTCTGGTTAATCAAGATTTTACTGTATAAATTGTCTTTCTTGTATTCTGATTGACACGCTTTATACCTGGTAATACTAAAAAGAGAGCATTTTTTTCTGCTAATATTTTTCCCTCTCTAATCATTTTTTAAAACCAGCTTAAAGAGCAAAATGTATCTACAAATAAAAACTTTTCAACAGTTCAACAAACTCATACTTTTATAACTCTTAATAGAAATAGCTAGCTTTTAATGTATAACTTCTTATAAAAAACATCCTGCAAATATCTAAGAAGAGGTATATAAAGTAATAACATAACCATATCATTTTCAGATTACTATGCCAACTGGAAAATTAAAAACAACTCAAAAAAGTATCTTTGTCCCAAGTGTAATAATGTTCATGCCCATTTTCCATTTTAGGTGTGGCGGCCTAAGAGAATTTTCCCAACGAGTTTTTTGCCACGGGGCACCCCCTTTTGTTGTTTTAAATATGCAGCATTGGAAATCTGAAGATCTGGCATATGTACCCTATTACTTGGATTTATCTGATCACAAGTAGGTGTTTGCTCAGCTTGCTTATTTTACAAACCTAGTTAAAAAATACTTACTCTAGTCTGTCATGATTTTGACTAGCTATTAAGATTATATCTGTTACTGAATTTATGTAATCTGCTTCAGGGAATTGTTCATTACCGTTCATTATGATTAGGTACTCAGATTATGGAAGGGAAAAGTTGAATTCAAATCCCAGCCCCATCTTTTATAAACTGTGTACCCTTGGACCAGTAATTTATCCAGTGTACACATTAGTTTTACTATCTATAAAACATATGACAGACACTATTTGGAGCCATATGCTAAGTGTTTATAGTGCCTGATACGTAGTAAGCATATAGTAAATGCTGGCTGGTATTTGTATTTCAGGTCAAAGTAGTATAAAGTGTTATGTAGTAGATCATCATTTAAACATAAGTTGTTACTTGTCATAATAAATAAAAATGTATATAAATCAGGAAATAGAGGATACTTGTAACTTTGGACTTTAAAAGGCTTTTTATAAGTCTCTTTTTCAGTAGAATCCAAGTTATGGGTTTATCTGTTAAGCTAGATTTTTATAAATTATATGAATTTTTGAAAACATTTTCATGTTAATGTGAATAAATGGAAAAATGATAAAAAAATATTTTCATGTTAAGCAAAATAATCCAGATTGAGAAAAACAAGTAATGAGAATGACACAAGTGTAAAATGGACTCTTTGGGGATAGGAACTGTAGTGGGGGGAAGGGAAAAGAGGGGTAAATAAGATCAAAATATTTTATATGCTTGTATAAAAACAGAATAAAACCATTAAAAATACTTTAAAAAGGAGGAGAAGTCATAAAGACTAATACAGGGGGGTGAATTTATCAAAGTACAGTATATGCATGTATGAAAATATCATAGTAAAACCCCTTTGTATAATTAATATATGCTAATAAAAATATTGTACTTGAAAACTATAGTACATGATGAATATCTTTTTCAGGAACAGAATTAAACAATATTATTTTTATTCTTTAGCTAAGCATTTAAGGAATGTTTACTTTAAAAACAAAGTATTACAATTTTTGTTATTTAATTTGCAGGTATTTGTTGGAAGGTGCCACACTCTTTAATAAAGAGGAACATCATTATTCTGCAGCTTTCCAGATTGATGGACATTGGATGCACTATGATGGCCTCAGAAATGTGAATTTAATTTTGTTAAATAAACCCCCAGAGTTTCTCCTCTTGTCATCATTGGTTTATATTCGAGCAGCAGAGAAATAAATATAGATTGATGCTAAATTAAATTGTTTTCCCGCCTGCCCATGCTCCCCTAGATGAAGGGCTTTTATGTTGTGTATACTTGGTATCCAAGGAAACAGTTCAACTATACTAGTTTCAGAGGGTATGTTCCAGTGTTTAGCCCCAGGTAAATATTTTATATAGAAGATCTATGCAAAAATGTTTGTATTTCTTTTTTATAATTCCTGGGTTACTTTTATATAATCATATTTTATGTTGAAATAAAATATATCTTGTGGCCTTTGTATATTTTTATTTAAATATACCTCAGAGATTTTACAATTCTGTCCTTAAGTCCTAGAAAATTCTTTGTCATTTTAATTATAAATTTTTCCTTTTGGATATCCAAGTAAAACCTGGGTAAAAGTCAGTATTTTAGTTATCTGTATTTCTTTGCCTTACCTCGCTATAATCCAAAGTGCACTATTAGATTTAGTGAGAATTTGAATGTACCACTTATAAATGGCTTAGTTTATTTTACCCATTAAATTTCTTTGTTAATTTTCTTGCAGCAGTGTTTAAAAATATTTATGGAGAAATTTTTTCTGGACTTAAATTATTTCTTTATGATGGCAAATTACTGTAACTGCTAAAATATTATGAACCTGCCAGTCGATTTCAAGTGTTAATTAAGTTTCCAACTTTAAAGTTGTTCTTTCAACTGAATTATATAACTATCCTAAATTATTAAACGTAATAGAAATTCTCTAATAAAAAGTTATTTTGCTAATAAGGCAACTATAAAAAATATTAAGCAAATGGATGTTTACTAGTGTTGAACTAATAATAGATACATACTTAAGTACATGTTTAAGAGGCAGTAGGTACCTGGGAATATTTCTTCTGTGAAGTTTTATATTGGCACAAAGAAAAAACATACTTAAATTTTTAGAGTAACATCTGCTGGCTCCCTTGTAGGCAGTAACTAATAGCAGGAAGCTTCGATTTGCAATATAAGCCACAGAATTATAGTTATCAGGATATTTCTATTTAACTTTGCTAAAATCACTCTTCCTTTTGCAATTCAAGGGAAAAAATATTCTCAAGGGAAAATACCTTTTTGAAATTTGCCACAGTTAATTTTAATGGTTATATGTCAATAAAGTCTGCTTTAGGTTTTTGGTTGAAATTAGGTGCAATATATTGGAAGACTTGTACATGACAAAACAATTCACTGCCATATACCAAATTACTAAAGTTTCATTCAGTAAATTAAATCTTACATTGCCATAGTGCCATGTTGATATAACTTACTGTAAGAATGGATAAATGTTGGTGAAACTGCTGAGAATGCCTCACTTTCAATAAATACTATGAAAAGTACTTTTTTACATAAGGATAAAAGATGTATGTTTTAAAATTTACCCAGGGTTTCCAAAGTATAATAAATAAAATTGGATTTATAGTAAACATTTCTCATAACTTATGGCATGAATCAGAATATACATAAAATAGTGTATTTAAATTACTAGCATTAATTATTCCTAATGTGGATTCATTCTTTAGGAATTGCACTTTATTTGGAATATTAATTTATCACCAAATGACTTACCTACCTCACAGGGTTGTTGTGAGGATTAAGATGTTTGTTAAAATCTTGACTACCTTGAACATGCTAATAAATGAAATATTTTTCTACCTCTTTCATGTACAGGCAGTCTCCCAGATTCTCTCTTACTAATAAACTTTTCAGATTTTTCAAAATTATTTAGGCAGTAGTTCATATCACTAATATATTTTTTGCATAATAGGAACTAAATATGCCTTCCGGATCCCAGGTGGTGGGGATTGAAGAATTGGTAGTATGTGTTATGGTAGTAGTTTACTGGTAGAAAGAAAAAATTACCCCTGCTGACCAGTGAATAGAAAAGGAGTCAAAAAGAATGAAAAACTGTATTATCTAAAGAATGTGAAGGTGACAATGTGGGAATTTCTTTGAACATTTAACATCCTTAGAAAAAAATCAGGAAGAAAGATGAAGAAATAAGAGGGAAAAATGAGAATATGTTTTTAATCAAAATGTGGCAAGGCACTACTTATGGGGGCAGAAAAAATTTTAAAACCTTGGCTATAATCGGTAGGGTAAAGGACAAATTTAAGAAGGAATTGCCAATTTCTCTTCAGCAAAGAAACCTCCAATTTGTGTCAGTCTTACTTGGATTACTACTTTGAAATAGCTTTTCACTTACAAATACTTGATTTGATTTAGTATTTGAGGCACTGTCACCAGACATGATCCAATGAATGGTGAGAAACTAATGATAACTGGTAAGACACAAGTGAGAGTGACTCTTATATTCTATTGCTTTCTTAGAGCAAGAGCAAACAAAATGATACACATTGAGCATAGAAAAAATTACAATTATTTAATGATAATCACAATTGTGTATATAATTATGTATAGCAATTATAGTGATTATATAACTTTGAAACATAGGGTAAGCAGTCCATGTAAAATGAGTACTATTAAATTATGGCTAAAACAATCTTTCTCAATGCTCTAGCATTTAAAATCAGCATCAAATTCTACCCTAAAAGTTTATCTGATAAAGACATTTATATGAAGTTCTTAAATATAAGATCTTATATCCTACCTAAGTGGCCCAGGGTTCACTTTATGGTTATCTGGACAGCATTCTTGCTATGGTTTGGTATTCCCTCCAAAAATCACATTGAAATTAATCCCTATGGTACTGAAAAGTTGGGTCTTCCAGGAAGTAAGTAATTGGGACTCTGCCCCATGAGCAGGATTATGTGCCTTTATAAAAGAGCTTGAGGAAATGAGTTCTACCTTTTTGCCCTTCTGCCTTACACCATGTGAGGACACAAGAAGGCCTTTGTCAGATGCTGGCACCTTGATCTTTGACTTCCAGGAATCCAGAACTGTAAGAAGCAAATTTATTTGTAAATTACCCAGTCTCAGGTGGTTAATTTTAAAGCAGCAGCACATTCCTTTCATCTCTAATTTGATCCCAGGGAAAATACCCCAGGATCAAATTAGAAATTTCAGTCTTAACTCTGGCCAGTTGAGGACTATGTTAGTAAGGAGGCTCTATTTCTCTATATGCTTGACGTCTATGTGATTATCGATTATCATTTACCTTCAAATGAGCAATTGGTTCCATAGCCCATTATTTTCTGAATAAGGTATTCTATACAGAATCGAGAAACATCTAAAACTGAAAACTTGAGCTGGGTGTGGTATTTCACATCTGTAATCCCAGCATCAGGAGGCTAAGGAATGAAGATTGTAAATTCCAGGCCAGTAGCTGGGCTATATATTGATTACCTATAGGAAGGAGGGAAGGAGGGGGGAAGAAAAGGGAAAAGAAGGGAAGGGGGAATGAAAGGGAAAGAAAAGGGGAAAGGAAAGGGAAGAAAGGAAACAAAGATCTGGAAGGAGGGAGGAAAGGAGGAAAGAAAGTTGAACTTCTCTGGCAGGTCCTCAAAAGGACCTGCACCTGGAACAAAAGCTTTGGCAGCAAACTAGCTATGCTGACCAAGTCAGCAAGTTAGAAACCTGCTATTTGTGCAATTGGCTTTAGTTTCATTACTTGTTTTGACTTTGAACTAAGTCTCACTTTATATATAATAAAATAACGTGTAAGTTAGTAAATACAAAATTATATATATATATATACATACATATATGAAGAGGAAAATACCCATAATTTCTCTGCTAAGTGATAATCACTGCTTCATGCTGATAAAGCATTTTAAGAGGTCAGCATGGCTCTATAGTACTAAAGAGAACCAAGAACAATGGAGTCAAAACTTTGAAAGAAGAATATACTCCAGGAGGTTAGCATAGTGGTGACAGAGGACAGTAAGACTTATGGCAGTTGGGCAGATAGCTCAGTGGTAGATCACAGGTTAACATGTGCAAGGCTCTGGGTTGTCTTGATTATAAGTTTCTTGATTGAATGAATGCCAGCCAACTAACCATCCCTCAACTGCATTCTTGATGAAGGCAACTCCTAGAGTTGAAGTTGGAACAGAAAAATTTTAATTCCTTGCCAACCCATTGGTTGTTTATGAGTAAGATGTTTAACTTCTTTGTATTTGGTATATTTCCAAAGGTTTTGTTGTTGTTGTTACTCATTTCTAGGTTGCATGTGGTCATAAAATATACTCAATATGCTTTCAATATTTAAAAGATATCTTTCTCAATCCTTAAAGTATTGAATTGGTGCCCTAGAAACCTCCAAAGGTGACCAAGTGTCATGAACTCATGAATTTTTATATATTGGTTTCAATATGCTTTTAATCAATTGTCCCATCTTAAGGCATGTGACTCTCCCATTAAATTTTATTGAAAGGTTCTTTGCTTTTTAAAAAATGTTTCTACAATTTTTTCTAAAATTGTTATTTGAAATATTGTCAAAATTACAGAAAAGAGTTTTTGTATATGCTTTCAAAATTAACTTTTAATGATTTGCTCATTTTTTTGGTTATTGTTGTTTTGTTTTACGACAGAGCCTAGTTATATGCAGCCCAGGCAGAGCACACAATTTTATTCCTACTCTTGAGTTCTGGTTGGCACTAAAAGAGTTATTGCATTCCACTGAGTTTACTTCAGACTCCTTCATTTCATCCATCACACTATCTTTCACCCCTTCTGTGACTGTCCCAAACAAAGGAAACACCTAGTAATTTTATGAAAGAACCTAAGAGGAAATTTTGCCAGAGTAGCACATTCGTCTGTTTTTCCTTCCTGGGTGAGTGGAAGGAGAGGGTGATATGGTGTCTTTTTTCCATTTCAAGTAAGATTGTAGATATGGTTCATATCCTTTACACCCTCCTTCATGTCTTGCACATACTAAGTTGACAGATTTTACAGTGACTTATGGGTAATATGAAAGCTCTCCATGCCTGCCATATTGAATAAAAAGGAAGAGTTTAGAAAGCATCCACTTAGCCAAGAAATCTTAATTTCAATATTTTAATATGCAGTCCTTTCAAAATGCGTATTTACATACTTTATTTCATCTATATTGTGCTTTAAATACTTCAGGATAGATCTCCTAAGCTCCAGCTTCAACTATAGGAGTTGCCCTCATCAAAAATGCAGTTGAAGGTAGTTAGCTGACATTCTAATCAGGAAATTCACACTCAGGCAGTTCTATATCCATATCCAATGTTCTGCTAGTTAGCATGATAAATCTCAGGAATATTTATTGGAAAAGTGGATCACAAACTAACATCAGAAATTTGTTCTTACTAGTGAAATTAAAGATT